CTTTTACCAGCCTTTGGCTTTTACCAGCCTTTGGCCTTCAAATGCCAAGTCACGGGGACACGCCTCTCGAGAATGACTGAAGAGTACACGAGCAAGCCATGTAGCGACGGCGGGACAATAAAAGACACACATATGGAGTGCGTTCATGCTGCTCTAAAGAAATCACTACCTCTGTTCTGTCTCCAAGGAGCACAGAAAGGTATGATCATGAGCGGTAATGGTTGGTCTGATCCTTAGCATTAGACCAAATAACGAATCACATTTTCGGTCTCTGCGATCATTGATCAAGAGTTGGTCAGTATGGCATCATTACTGCATGAGAACACTAGTAGTGCTTACGTTGTGAGATTGGTTCATACTCACCGCCTACTCGGAATTGCCCTGCTTGCAATAACTAAAAGGTTGCACTCCCGATAACACAACCAGTACCAATGGGGCCTCGCTACTTCACAGTGCGATTTAAGTGCTTCTATATTTCACGCTGGAACCAAATTTCAGTGCTTTTCGAGTGGACAAGAAGTACCTCACCATTGTGCTTGTCACTGATAAGGCGCTCCTTAGCATCGAGCACATTGTGTCCAATGTTTCTGTTTGATGTTTCTGTTTGATGTTTTATGCGGGCTAATCCGACTTGCTCTTTAATGCAATACATCCTTCCAATTCCACGGCTTGGTATACAGATACTGTGCAACAAGAGCACTACAGCACAATTGATCACATCTACAAGTTCTTTGATTTCATATTAACAACGATATCTCTATTATAAACTAGATGTATTTTAAAACAAATGAAGAACAAAGAATAAACACAGATACAAACTTTTTTGACTCTCTTGATGCAATCCATATGGGCAAGTCACACTTATTGACTAACCATGATTACATGCTTTCTTGATATTAAGTAAACATTACCCATTACACAACTCACGTGAGAAAGAACCTAATCGAAGGTCTTCTTAGTACCCTTGAACTCAGCGGACTTAGGAGCGCTAGCATTAGCACCGGTACCGAAAGCCTTTCTACCACCGAAGGATTGTCTGTCACCACCAAATGATCTTCTGTCACCGCCAAAGGACTTTCTGTCACCGCCAAAGGACTTTCTGTCACCACCGAAGGACTTTCTGTCACCGCCAAAAGACTTTCTGGATGGGTCTCTTGGAGCAGAGAAGTCCAAACGGACTGGTCTACCAGCGATATACTCACCGTTCAATGCCTCAAGAGCAGCCTTGGCCTCATCAACAGAACTGAATTGGACGTAACCGAAACCCTTTGGTTGTTCGGTCTCTGGGTGTGTTGGGATTCTGGCACTGATAACAGAACCGTATTGACCGAATGTCTCGAACAATCCATCTCTGTCAGCTTGGAAGGACAAGTTACCAATGAACAACGTGTCAGATGGCTCAGATGGAGTGTCACCATACTTGGATGCTCTGTCGGCGTTCTTGTTTGGGTTTCCAGCTGGCTTGGAAGTGGACATATCCAAGTTGATTGGTCTTCCGTCAATTTCACGACCTTGGTATTCCTTCAAAGCCTTCTCAGCAGCAGCCTTGTTCTCAAAGTCGACGTAACCGTAACCTCTAGACTTACCTGTGGCTCTCTCGAACATCACTCTGGCACCAATGACACCACCCAATGGCTCAAACTCACTCTTCAACCAATCATCATCAATGTTCCATGAAAGTCTTCCAACAAACAAGGTAGCTGGTTCGTCAGTCTTTTGCTTCTTAATTGGAGCCTCGTCATCCTCAGCTTTACGCTTCTTTGGTTCGGCTTCCTTTTCTGCCTCCTCAGACTCACTGTCAGAGGAGTCGCTGTCAGATGAGGAGGAGGAGTCACTGTCAGAAGAAGAATCACTGTCAGATGATTCAGTCTTCTTCTCCTTCTTTTCATCACCATCCTCTGATTCTGAGTCGGAGGACGATTCAGAAGATGAAGATGAAGATGAAGATGACTCCTTCTTCTCTTCCTTCTTCTCCTCTTCCTCATCCGAGGAGTCAGAGTCAGAGTCAGAGGAATCGGAATCGGATGATTCCTTCTTCTCTTCCTCCTCATCAGAAGAGTCGGAATCTGAGGAAGACTCAGATTCGCTAGAGCTAGAGCTGGAAGAGCTAGAGTCGGAATCAGATTCGGACTCAGAGTCAGAGTCAGAGTCAGAATCAGAATCAGAATCAGAATCAGAATCAGAATCAGAAGAGGAGGACTCGGCGCGCTTGGCCTTCTCCTCAGCAATTCTCTTCTCTTCAGCCTCCTTCAAGGCAAGCTCAGCTTTCTTGGAGTCCTTCTTAGAGCTCTTCTTTGACTCCTTCTTGGAAGGCTTAGTAACCTTGTCAGCCTTCTGGGCAACAGCCTTAGACTTAGATGTCTTTTTATCCTTAGAAGTGCTAGCCATTATGTCTCGTGAATTGTATAACGTGTGATAGAAGGGTTTTTTATGAAGAGTAGTTTGAAGAGCTCCAGAAATTTTTCATTTTTCGCTTTTTTTTTCCCTTTCATCGTCTCATCGCATGGTTTCTGTAGTTACGGAAAGCAAAAAGCAATTCAGAGAGTACGTGTGGTGTGTACCGATTTATATCTCCTGGAGACCACGATGAGGTTGAAGCTACAAGGTATGGCACTGGTTGATGAGAGGTTATAGCAGCGAGAATGGTGCATTGTATGTCTATTAGTGTGCATTTAGAGGCGTTGTGGTGCTATGGGTCAGTCAATTGCTTTTTGAAGCATCGTTTAAGCTGGAGTAATCGTCTGAATCCAACTGAATAGTCACGGGACCATCATTCACAAGCGCAACGTCCATCATTGCGCCAAATACACCATCCTTGACGTTCTCGTCTCCGAGATCCTCCCTCAATCTCTGTAGAAAAAGCTCATACAGTGGTTGGGCTTGTGGGCCTGGCTCGGTGTTAGTATAAGAATATGGGTTTCAAAATGCAATTCTACAAGCCATGTACATACCCTTTGCAGCCTTATGGAGATCCGGCTTCGTGCCTTTCTTTGTATTGGCCATCAATGTGAATTGAGACACTTTTGGCGACATTAGTAAGCAGTCATCTTGAGGGAGCTATCAGCATATCACATACCTGATAAGATTTGGCCATTGGCCTGTCTAGTTGTGCTCTTCCACAAGTTTTTGCCTTCTTCGTCTTCAAACATCCTCAGTTTGGCAACTTTAGATGCCATTGCATCAACAATTCTCTCGTTATCATCAGTTGAGATACCCACAAGGAGGAGAAGGCCCTTCTCAATACTGTCAACATCTCTGAGTTAGCACCTCTTGAAGTCACAGTGCAAAAACCGCTTCAAAACACAACTTACGAAGAGACGATCTCTGAATCCACCGTCACAGAAGCACGTTTGACCTTCTGAATAACAATTCTCATGGTCAAAAGAAGTATATGAAGATAAACAGAACGAACTGACTCCGACAAAGAGCGACTTACAATCATCGAAGCGGATTTCTTTCCAATGAGTCCATATTTGGTATGCGCACATATATATACACAGCGAATATACACACTAAAATCTAGTCATTATTATAATGTTATATCTTTATCTACTGTACACAGTTGCCTGATGTAAGGCTAGTTGACCCACTTTCTGGCATTTCTGAAGAGTCTGACCCATGGACCATAGTTCTCCCAGAGCTCTGACTCATCAGCTGGGTACCAGGAGTTGGCCTCTCTTCTAACACATCTTTCAGGGTGAGGCATCATGGCAAGGACTCTACCATTTGGAGTTCTGATACCTGTGATACCATTTGGAGATCCGTTAGGGTTGAGTGGATATTTCTCAGTGACAGCACCGTAGTTGTCAACATATCTCACAGAGACAAGACCGTTGGCCTGTAAGCTCTCCAAGTCTTCCGATGACTTGAATGTGGCACGACCTTCACCGTGGGCAACAGCAATAGGGAACTTAGAGCCCTTCATACCGTCTAAGAACACAGATGGGGAGGCATCACCTTCTTCAGTGATCTCAACCATACACACTCTGGCTTCGTATTGCTCAGAGCTGTTCTTCTCGAAAGTTGGCCAGTTCTCGGTGCCCGGAATCAACTCGGCGATTCTTGACAAGAATTGACAACCATTACAAGCTCCAAAAGCGAATGTGTCATCACGCTCGTTGAAAAACTTGTAAAACTCCTTTCTGGTGTTTTCATGGTACAACACAGACTTGGCCCAACCTGAAGCAGCACCCAAAACATCACCGTAGGAGAAACCACCACATGCAGCCAAACCAACAAAGTCGTCTAGAGTAACACGGCCAGTCAATATGTCAGTCATGTGAACATCCACGGCAGTAAATCCAGCTTGTTCAAAGGACCAAGCCATCTCCATCTGACCGTTGACACCTTGTTCTCTCAAGATGGCAACCTTTGGTCTTGTGTCATATTTGGAGATAGACAATTCATCAGCTGGGTCAAAGGTTAGCTTGTACGAAAGACCTGGATCCTGGTTGTCCAAGATAGATTGGAACTCTTGATCGGCAGATCTTGGATTATCTCTCAGTCTTTGCATCTTGTAGGATGTCTCTGCCCATGCTTGCTGCAACTGGCCTCTGGCACCATTGAAAATAGTCTCCTTGTTATACGTGACAGTAATGTTTTGCTCCTTCGAGAAAGAAGGTTCACCAACAACAGAAATGTATTCAGAAGAAACACCATTCTTCTCAAATACAGAAACAAACTCCTCGTATCTTGAAAGTGGAATTTGGAACACACCACCAAGTTCTTCGTTAAACAAGGTTGTTAAGGCATCTTCATCACCAGAGAGTGTAATGTTCAAACCAGATCTAGCAGCAAAGGCCATTTCCAGCAAAGTGATAATGAGACCACCATCAGATCTGTCATGATAAGCCAACACCAAGTCCTTCACTTGGTGCAATTCCACAAGAGTATCTAGGAAGGACTTCAAAACGGCAGTATCATGGACGGTTGGACAAGAATCACCAACTTGGTTGTAGACTTGAGCCAAGGCAGAACCACCCATGGATTTGAGAATCTTAGCAGCAAGATCCACAAGAACAAGAACAGTTGGTTCTTCTTTTCTGATCAATTGTGGAGTCCATGTTCTAGATGTGTTTGAAACTGGGGCGAAGGCAGTAATAACCAAAGAAAGCGGCGCAGTGACCTCCTTGTTGTCCCAGGTCATCTTCATAGACATAGAATCCTTACCAACAGGAATGGAGATACCAAGAGCTGGACAGAGATCGAGACCAATAGCTTGGACAGCCTCATAAAGCTTGGAACCTTCACCTGCGTGGGAAGCTGGAGACATCCAGTTGGCAGATAACTTGACAGAATCCAAGGACTTAACGTCGGCAGCGAATACATTCATTAACGATTCAGCAACACACATTTTAGCAGATGCTGCTGCAGAGATCAAAGCCAATGTTGGCTTCTCACCCATTGCTAAAGCCTCACCAGTGGTGAGGATGGTATCACCCAGAGATGTCCCTGTAACACCGACATCAGAAACAGGCACTTGCCATGGTCCAACCATTTGATCACGGTCAATTAAACCAGTCACAGTACGATCACCAATGGTGATCAAGAAGTTCTTGGAACCGACGGATGGTAAGTGGAGTACTCTATCTAAAGCCTCTTCAATCTTAACATCATTGAACAATGTTGGCTGAAGTTTCAACGGAGCTGTAACAGCGGTTCTGGACATCTTTGGTGGCTTACCGAACAAGATAGACATTTCCAAGTCGATAGGTGTTGTATTCAAAAGTCTATCAGTCAATACGAGACGTTGTTCACTAGTAGCTTGACCAACAACGGCATATGGAGCTCTTTCTCTTTCACAGATTTCCTTAAAAGTGGCCAAATCTTGAGGAGCAACACCCATAACGTAACGTTCCTGGGACTCGTTACACCAGATCTCCATTGGAGACATACCTGGTTCCAAACTCAAGATATCTCTCAATTCAAACTTGGCACCGAGGTCATTGTCGTGAACCAACTCTGGAAGAGCATTTGAAAGACCACCGGCACCAACATCATGGATAGACTGGATTGGGTTGTTAGGACCAAGTGCAACACAAGCATCAATAACTTGTTGTGCACGACGTTGCATTTCTGGGTTTCCTCTCTGGACAGATGCAAAGTCCAAGTCAGCAGAACCCTCACCGGAAGCAATAGAGGAAGCAGCACCTCCACCAAGACCAATCAACATACATTGACCACCAAGAACAATCAAAGCAGAACCTTCGGTGATCTTACGGTCTTTCAAGGCGAATTGCGGTCTGATAGCACCCATACCACCGGCAATCATAATAGGCTTGTGGAAACCTCTAATCTCTTCCTTATCCTGGGCATTCTTAACAGTAGTTGTCAATGTTCTGAAGTAACCATTGATACATGGACGACCGAATTCGTTGTTGAAAGCTGCTGAACCAAGTGGAGCCTCGATCATGATATCCAAGGAAGAAGCAATGTGGTTTGGCTTGCCGACATCCTTCTCCCATGGCTGGTGGAAATCTGGAATCAGAAGATCAGAAACAGAGAAACCAGAGAGACCACACTTGGACTTAGAACCTCTACCAACAGCACCTTCATCTCTGATTTCACCACCGGAACCAGTGGCTGCACCGGCGAATGGAGAAACAGCAGTTGGATGGTTGTGAGTCTCAACCTTCACCAAAGTTTGGACTTTTTCCTTCTTAGAGCCCCAGACTTTAGTCTTTGAGTTTGGTGCATAGAAATAACCTTCTGGACCTTCAAAGACAGCAGCATTGTCACTATAAGCGGAAACAGTGTATTGTGGGTTCTTTTGTTCGGTATTTCTAATCATCTTGAACAAACTGAGGTCCTTCTTTTCGCCATCAATAGTCCAGTCAGCATTGAAGATCTTGTGACGACAGTGCTCAGAGTTAACTTGCGCAAACATGAAGAGTTCAACATCTGTTGGGTTTCTACCAATGGTCTTGACAAAGGCATCAACTAAGTAATCAATTTCACCTTGATCAAGGGCCAATCCCAAAGCCTTGTTAGCGGTCTGTAACTTAACCTGTGGATCCTTTGACAAGTCAACTTCAACCAACGGCTTTGGAGTGTGATGTTCAAACAAATCGTCCCTGACAGGTGCCTTTTCAATGTACAAAGTTTGAGTCATTCTGTCGAATACAGAAGCCAACGGAGAACCATCACCAATGTACTCCTGAAGTGGGAACCCTGGACGAACTTGAATCAAGAGTGCCAACCCTCTCTCAACTCTGTCGATGTCGTCCTCAAAGCCACAAACAGTGGTGATATTGGTGGCTTTAGATGACCATGGAGAAATGGTACCTGGTCTTGGAAGGATTCTGATCACATGGGAGTTTTCAACTTCTGGTGAGATCGACTCCTGCGTGGTGGAGATCTTGACCAATTCCTGGGTCAGGGAGTCTGTCATGTCAAGCTTTGAATCGTACTGTAAGAGGATTTGAAGAAGGTTAACCTTCTGTGAATCCTCTGCGAGTTTCGATCCCTCTTTGAGATGAACGTAGTGGATGTAAGCTGAACGCACATTGGTAACAACAGACGAGTTGACTGCTGTGTTGATGTCGTTAGTCAAAGTAGCAACTCTGAATTGGGAGAGTGCTTGAGGACCAGCAAAGATCAACATAGACATGTTGGGTGCGTTCTAACTAGGTGACACCATTTTGTTAGTACAACGAGCTGGTTGAAGTCTCGGAAGACATTGCCACGCATTCACGCCCTCCAGGGCGGAAAGAGCATGGCCTGTTCCGACCCACGGTGTACAATCATACTAACAAACTAGCAAGTTTCTTTTCAGTTGAGTTTGGTTATCTCAGCTAAACACCAGGAGAAAGGGCAAAGGGAAGAAAGCGTTGGATACCCTGTGTAAAATTTCTTGCAAAATTGTAATTTTTCCGTGATGACTCTGGCCGAAATTGCACAATTGTCCAAACTCGGTAATTCTCCCCAAAGGGTAAGCGATGAGCGAAAAACAGCGAAAAAAATTCACACAGCGGATCACACAGCGGATCACACACACGGAGGAACCCCCAATTGACACAACCTTGTGGTTAGAAGGTTCAAGGAAGTTTGGTTATTAGTATATCATCAAGATGGCACAAGCACCACTTAAAGTGAAGAGAAAAGAGAAGACGAGGATCACCAAGAAGCAGCAGAATCCTAAGAAGGCTGCGCCAAAGATCATCAAACCAAAGAATAAGCAACTGGCACAGATGGCCAAGTTGAACAAGTCATATTCCGTTACACACCAGACAGAGAAGCTCATCGCATCTCGTGTTGGGCACTTGGAGCTTCTAAAAGGGTCCAGAAGAGAAATAGAGAGAGCCGAGAAAGAGAAGAAGAGAAAAGAGGCCTTGAAGGGTAAGTGATAAGGCTCGTTATGGTTAAAGAGTCGTTTTGCTTTTAGCCGCCACATTGTTGTGCTTCCTGTCCTTGTTTCCCAGACGGCTTTGTCTATCATATATATGATTCCTGAGTAATGAACACTTTATTGAAGTAGCGCCCTGTACACATCAGCGACTATCGTGATGCACTGCAAATGCTACGGGCTTTTTGATCCAAGGCTTCCAGGTATGAAGGTTTTGTGTCTGATTGTGTATTTATGGCTCCTGCCGCCATGCCAGGATATGGTTTGATCTGTCTTACCGAACAACTAAGTTGCCTCCTTAGCTTAGTGGTAGAGCGTTGCACTTGTAATGCAAAGGTCGCTAGTTCAATTCTGGCAGGAGGCAATTTTTTTCATTTCTTTATAGTGTATAATGTGTGTCCTGTACCATATTCGAAGCAACTGGTTACGCGTTACACAACATCTCTACTTAAACTCAATATCGGGCAATTACACCACCACAACCACTCGGTAACAAACACATGGATTTCACCCGTGTGGATGAGGACAGCAATTCAATTCGATCAACTCCTTTTCGGACATTGTCCCCCTTCCAAATCAATTTGCCGTAGATAAAAAGCTTCTAATTTTTTTTGCTTTTTCACCACAAAATTCCCGAGATTGTGCTAACAGTTGACGTTAGCGGTGTAAATGTCGTCTCCCACTGCCGTTAACTCTTATAACATAAATTTTATGTGGGCAGCTCTCAATCGCAGTTTACCCCATTGAGAAATAAGGTCTTAGCAGAAGGAAAGAGACGGCGCATTTTCCAGCTGATCTACCCAATAACACTATCTCTTGGTGTATATATAATAGGAGGCACTTTGCTGTTTCCCTGAAGGTTTGAGGCAATTTCAACTAGACAAAGAAGCAGAATGACAAACGATTTGGTGCTCGAACTCTCCACAGACCCTGAACAGATCAGATACACCCACCTACAAAATTCAAGCGCCTGGAGGGCCAAGTTAACCGCTGAAGAGTATGCTGATAGGGAATGGCTCATTGGATGTGAATCAAAGCTTGGTAAGAGAAAGGTTGATGAGAACCTTGGACTTTATCACTTTGTTCTACGTGATAAGTCCATTGCGTCTTCGGGCAAGTTTGGGGATATCGTGGCTTCTTGTGAGACCATGAACAGAAAAGCGTGGAGAATTGATCCTAAGGGCGAACTGGTTGAAGTGGTTGCTGCATGTATTGGTGGTGTCTTCACTTTGGAGCCATATAGAGGTAAAGGTTATGCCTGCACGATGATCTCCTTGTTGAACAGGTATTGGGATGAGCGCTTGGATAAGAGAGGGTTCATGTTCCTCTACAGTGAGGTTGGCGATTACTACAGTAGAGTGGGATATGAGAGTGCTGAGGTTAAAGTCCATGAGTTGCACAATCTAGAGCAGTACAGGGACCCGGAGTTGGACTTGGATGTTTCAGATTACCACTTCTTGAAATATGAGGACTACTCCACTCTGGTTGAGCTGCAATACAAGAATGCTAAGGAATTCTTGATTTCCAAGTCGAAACAGACGGATAAAGTGTTGTACTCACTCATTCCAAACATTGACACATATACGTGGTTCCACGACAGGGACTTGTTCATCGCTTCGAAGCTTCGAGCAGAGAAGCAAGTGGACCACTTTGGCGTCACTTTGAATGATGGTACACATGACAGAGTGGTTTGGTTACACGACTGGAACTCTGATGATTTGACCATTGTGGCTCTCACCGCATCAAGCCATGAATCCTTCAAGAAGTTGTTAAACTTGTCGATATCCGAGGCAATCAGCTGCAAATTCGACAGCATCCACATATGGCATTCCGGGCTTGGACAAGACCCTGAAACTGTTGCAGCCAACGTTAAATTCCTCGAGTCTAACAGCAGTTCAAAGTTGTTCCAAGATAACTCTTCAAGGTCTGCAATCAGGCCTTTGGACGGTTCACCATTGGGCACATACTCCTGGGAATTCAATGATAAATGGTGCTGGTTCTAATCTCCCTAAACAAAGCTATCCACTTAGCCTATGAATGACCTTTCCGAAATGTCTTGTCAATCTATATCTTCATTCTCGTCCATGCTAAAAATAGAAGTAGTACGGTTGAATAACTGTAAATTTAGGCGCAGCACACAGGTTTGGCTGACATTCCGAAATGATGAAAAACGCGAAACGCGTGCGAGGGAAGGCGATGATCCAGGAATTGGTGTCGTAATGGGGGAAAAACATAAAACAGTTCCATCAAAGGTATAAAGAGGACTTTCTTCCTTCATTTACTGGGGTTTCACGCAGGGCGGCTGGTGAACCAATCAGGGCGGCTGATACTTGAGATACTCTAATTTGCTGTTGCGATGAGCTATAATTACAACAACCAGGGCGGTGGGAGAAATCGTAACGATGGGGCTCGAGGCCGTGACGATAACACCCATAACCAGTACAACTACGACCAGTACTATCACGACGAGAGCCCCACAAGAACTGTTGAAGACAACGCACAGTACAACTATGACCAGCAGTACACGGCATCGCCACAGGATCCGTTCACAGGTACAGTGACAGGGAACGGGCTTTCGTCCGTTGAGCCATCGTACACCAGAGATTCGATCTCTCCTCAGAGGAGGGTTTCACAGGCCCACAACCAGGACTATGGCTACTCGAACGACTACGCATATCACCAGGACTATTCTATACAGCAGAACCATGGTTATACCAGAAGGCCTCCGTTTGATGAGGACACGTCTTACAATCCGGGTCGTATAGATACCGAGGTGGCTGGTACGCAATACCCTCAGCAATATTCGCCAATTGTTCAAGATCCGAACAACCTGCCGTCTATAAACGTCACTCAGTATGGAAATGCCCCATCGAACGTACTCGGTGAGTACAACGACGAGGATTTCTACCACAACCAAACCGTTTCAGCTTCGACTTTCAATGCATTCCCAACAGACCCGGATCAGGAGCAAGCACAAGGACAAGCACCGCTCCCGCCAATGGGGGCCAACTTTTATGAAACCAATAACTCGTACAGTAACATTCCATTGACATCTCCTTATCAAAACGAGGCCATAGAGATGGATCGTTTTGATGCAAACCAGGAGGAGGAGATTGGCTTTAACCATCACATCGACGGTGATAACTATGAGTTGAATACCTTTGCCAAAGGTCCATATGATGCAGATGAAGAGTACCCATTCGGTGACGAGAACGGCGAGGAAATCCCACAGGAACAACAACAGAGAAGAAAAATCGAAGTTGGTTTACTTAATGGTAATCTTATCCTTGATTGTCCAGTTCCTGATAGAATCTTGCAGAAATACGTTGGGAAGAATATCGATGATTCAAGAGAGTTCAAGTTCATGCGTTATCAGGCAGCCACCTGTGATCCAAGGGACTTTTCTCTGGATAACTTCAGTCTGAGACAGAGATATTACAAGAGACCCAGGGAATGTGAGCTTATGATCGTTATCACTCTATACAACGAGCCTGATTTCCTCCTGGCCAGAACGCTTAAGGGTGTCATCGACAACATCAAGCATTTAGAGAGCAGAAAAAGATCTAGTACTTGGGGTCAAGATGCTTGGAAGAAGGTTGTCGTTTGTATCGTAGCAGATGGTCGTTCAAAGATTAACGAAAGTGCACAGGCTTTACTGGCTGGTTTAGGTGTTTACCAGGAAGGTTTTGCCCGAAATGCTGTCAATGAAAAGAAGGTTGTATCGCATATCTATGAGTACAGCTCGATGATTGGTATCTCATCCATTGAAAAGGAAACTGTCAAATTGACAACTGCGCCAGTTCCTACTCAGTTATTGTTCTGCCTAAAAGAAGAAAACAAGAAAAAGATCAACTCTCATAGATGGGCACTGGAAGCCTTTGGTGAGGTTCTACGCCCAAATGTTGTTGTGCTGCTGGATGCTGGTACACAACCTTCAAAGGACTCTATCTACCATCTCTGGAAAGAGTTTGACAAAGATCCAAATGTTGCAGGTACATGCGGTGAAATAAAGGCAATGTTGGGGAGCAGATACGAAAAGCTACTCAACCCACTTGTTGCTGCACAAAATTTTGAATACAAAATGTCCAATATCCTTGACAAACCGATGGAATCCTCCTTTGGTTTCATATCTGTTTTACCAGGTGCATTCTCCGCTTATCGTTATTCAGCTTTGCTTAATCAACCTAATGGAGATGGACCATTAGCGAAATATTTCGAAGGTGAGACTCTTCATGACCAAGGTGCTGGTATTTTCAAGTCAAACATGTACCTTGCTGAAGATCGTATTCTTTGTTTCGAGCTTGTTGCAAAGAGAAACTGTTCTTGGATTTTGAGATACTGCAGAAGTGCGTCTGCTGAGACTGATGTGCCGGAGGAAGTGCACGATTTCGTCTCCCAGAGAAGACGTTGGTTGAATGGTTCGTTCTTCGCTGCCATCTACTCAGTGGTTCATTTCCACAAGCTCCTTGGTGAGAGTTCTCATTCGATAGGAAGAAAAATTGCATTGTGTGTGGAATTTGTATACCAATTGGTCAATCTTCTCGTGTCCTGGTTCTCATTGGCGTCGTACTTTCTAGTGTTTAGAATATTGACGACATCTTTGGGAACACTATATGATCCATGCAGGTACCTCTCGGTGGTGTTCCTATGGCTTTACTTGTTATCTGTTGTCACCACATTTGTGTTGTCATTTGGTAACACTCCAAGAGGAACGCCAAAGTTCTACATCGTTATCATTGTGTTTTTTGCCATTCTTATGGCCTATATGATTGCAGCTGCCATTGTGATGTCCGTTGATGCAATTAAGGGTATCGTTGCCGAAGGAAACATCACTGCTGCTACTCTATTCCAGAATGCAACGTTTAGAGATCTGATCATATCCACTGCATCAACATATGCCCTATACTTCATAGCATCAATCATACATTTGAAGCCGATGCACATGTTCACGTCGTTTCTCCAATACCTGCTCTTGAGTCCCTCATATGTCAATGTGCTGAACATCTACGCTTTTTGCAATCTACACGATATCTCTTGGGGTACCAAAGGTGCCACTGCACAAAGCTTGGGTGATGCAAAGATTACAGAGGATGGTAAGGTTGAGTTCATCGACGCCCCAATAACAACTGAAGAAATCAATGCGTTGTACGAGAAGCAGATGGACATCCTTGCGCATGTGCCAAAGCCCAAACCTGAGGTCACAGAAGAAAGCCTTCTGATAGAGGAGCAGAGACGTAAGGAGAAAGAAGATGAAAAGAACAAGAACTATTACGCATTCATCAGATCCATGGTGGTTCTCACATGGATCACTACAAACTTTGTGATTATTGCTCTGGTTCTGGAAACCGGTGGCGTGAACCAGTTGACCTCTGATTCTACTTCTACAACTACTACCACCGGTGACTACGCTTCTAATCCACGGTCAGAAATCTTCTTGACAGTCATCTTATGGATCGTGGCCTTCATGGCAGCTTTTAGACTGATTGGAACAGTGTATTATCTCATAGCTCGACTCATTAAATAAGACATTCATTCGTTTGCCTTGGTGTTTTTTGTTGTTGTTTTTTTTTTTTTCCATATCACTGTAGAAACGGCTTTCTCCAAGTTTCCAATCTTCTCTACACCCACTACACCAACGGAAAGCAACAGGTATATACAATGGCCGGCGAAACACCACAGGAAGATGGAAACCAAGCTGGTGGATCCATCTTTGATGTCTTGAAGAAGGTACTGTTGATGTTTCTTGTGGCCAACACTGTGTCTAACTTCATGAAGCCCAAAAGCCCTGAAACTGAGGCTGTCATCACGAACAGCGACGGGAATGCCACTGTTGCTCTCACTCCAACTCCGCTGAACAGCACCTTTTTGAAGATTGAAAAGCCTGTGAATCCATTCAACCTTGTTGATGTGACGGATGACGAGGGCAATGTGGTGTCGCAAAGGAATGTGAGTTCACTGGAACAGCTCGTGTATGAGAACTCCTTGATACCGGCAACGTTTTTATCGCCAATCTGGAAAGAAGGTGACTACGCCATTGATCTGAAATTCTACGTGGATGACCAGCGAGTTGCTTCAGATTCCGGAGAATTGCTGTTTGAGCTGTCCAATGTTACCATTGATAAGGTGAATGATGTCACTAAGCATTTTGTCTTGAAGGTCCCAGATAACGTGAAGTTTAACAACGGCTCCCTATACTTGCACACGTTCATTTCAAGAGATGGTTATCCTGAAGTTGGTCAAAAGACGGTTCAGCTAAACACTTTCTTCCCAAAGAAGAAAGTGGTGAAACTTCACAAATTGATCGGTAGTGAGGAGGAAGCAAACGGTGCTAGCGACGTAGAGAATGCCCTTGATTATGAAACCCCACAAGAACAGCCAATTGTTGCCTATTGGCATCCAAATGTGACCATATCACTGGTTAAGACCAGGGGATTGGTTGATGCTAGAACACTTCCTCCCCCTTTGCTCGATATCTTCCCTCTAGACCCACTTGATCTTCGTGATAATTCGACTGGTCGTGTCACCCAGTACTTCCCACTCGTGTACCAGAACAAGTTCTGGCAATTGAGAAGCCATATGAGCGAGATCAACGCTACTACAGATGAGCTTGAACTGAACTTGAACATTGACTTTGCCTCGTTCTGGAAAGTTCAAGTCCTTGTGCTTTTTAGTGATGGTATGGAACAACAGAAGAATAATCCAATGTCCGTTACCGATGGCTCTGAACTTGACGCCATCAAGAGAATCCTGCTAGATACAAACCCATACCTTCTTGCAATCACCATCGCTGTCTCGATTCTTCACTCTGTTCTGGAGTTTCTTGCTTTCAAAAATGACATTTCACATTGGAGAAATAAAAAGAATAACGTTGGTATCAGTGTTCGTTCTATCGTTGCAAATGTTATCCAACAGACCATCACATTGCTCTATCTCATTGACAACTCTGATGGAACCTCGTATATGATTTTGGCTTCTCAGGGGTTTGGAATACTCGTTGAAGCATGGAAGATCACCACCATTGTTAATATCGACATCCAATGGGACGGCTTGATTCCACGTGTCAGCATCACTGATAAATATCAATTAAGTGAGACTGAACAGAAGACTAAGGAATATGACTCGATTGCGTTCAAGTATCTCTACTGGGTTGCGTCTCCGTTGCTGGTTGCCTATGCTGTCTATTCCTTGATGTACAAGGAACACAAGTCGTGGTATTCCTTTATAGTCACCACGCTTGTTGGTTTTGTCTATACCTATGGATTCCTCACCTTGGTTCCAAGTGTTTATATCAATTATAGACTCAAGTCAGTGGCGCACGTTCCAAAGAAAGCCATGGCCTACAAAGTGGTTAACACCTTCATAGATGACCTGTTTGCCTTTGTTGTGAAGATGCCATGGCTACACAGACTTGCCACGTTAAGAGATGATGTCATCTTCTTCATTTACTTATACCAGACGTGGATTTACAGAGTCGACTACTCAAGAGTAAACGAGTTTGGCCAAGGTGGTGAGGAAGAGGAAACCATCGTTGAGAAAGACTCTGACGGCAACAAAATTACAAAGAAAGAAACAAAGAAACAGAAGTAGATGCTGGACAGGCCTGTTATCATGAAGTTATTTAACACTATAAACTGATGTGGTTCAATAGCTGTGGTTTTTACAAGATTTCATTAATAAATAGATTAGCAACACTTCCTCGATGGACCGTTCAAGAGCGAACTAATGCTGATATTATGCTGTGAAGTTTGGGGAGATGGCGACAACTTTCCCATATCCTCCCTTGTCTCTTTAGCAGGAACTGCTTGTTGAATCGGTGGTGATAAGGGTGGCAACGGAACTGTTGAGGAAGATTTAGGAATTGTGCCCTTGATCTCAAAAGATGCAGTAGTTGTTGGTGTCTGTGATTGTGATGAATATTGGCGGGCAAACATTGCCGTGAAGTCCACGGCAGCTGGTGGATTGCGTGTTGATGACTGTTGATGCGAGCTTTGAAACATACGAAGTGGTGGTAGTGTAATATGTCCCTCACCAGATGGCTGTCCTTGTATAGGTGGCGGTAGAGGTAGAGTGTTATGCTGGCCAACCTCTACAGTTTGCTGAGGTGTTGGACTCGACACATTTGGAGACGCTGTTCCTGAACCGGCTTCAGTCTTGAGCTTCTTCGCATCACCAATGCTGTGGCCGTGTACATTGCGCCTTCTTCTCTTGATGATGCCTCTCTTCAGCTTAGAAGGCCTATACGAGCCGTGAAGTCTATAGTACAATCCACAGGCGTTGCATATGGTATCCCCGTTATCATCACGTCTCCACAGCGGTGTCACTGTGGTGCCACAGTTCGAACAGGCGATAGCAACGTTCTCCAGGTGCTCTGTACCGATAACGTCACCAACCTCAACTTTTGGCTTCGGCTTTGACGAAGAAGATGCGGTGTCCTCTCTCTTAGAACCAGGAGATCCCGATGCATCGTTTCTAGCGTCAGAGGTGTTTCTCGAATGAGATGTAATAACCACTCTGTTATTGAAAGCGGGACAGCCCTCACACGCCGATGAACCCCCTGTTCCGTTACAGCGCCCATCACCTTTACAGGACCCCTTGTGCAAATCTTTGGAGTCCACAGTGACAACGTGTGGAGGTCTTTTCAAGTTTATCGGTCTATGACAATTGTTTGCTCTGTAATACAACCCACATGCATTACATATGAGTGACCCGTCAGGTGCTCTTCTCCATAGAGGAGTCTTTGTAGTCCCACAGTTCGAGCATACCTGGGCCTGTGGCGGTGATAGCGTGGTGTTGTTCTTGGGCGATGGCAGTGATTGATCTGAAGCTTGAGGCGACGGCGAGCCCTTTGGTGTGCTTTCGGGCGACGGCATCGTGATGGCTGTTGTGTGTGCGATATTGCTCGTAATGGTGGGCACTGGGTGAGCTTCTATTCCTGTATGCTCCGTGCGCAAGTATATATGAGTGTGCTGACGTTGAAGAGTATGCCCGGCTGGTCAATATGGAACGAGGCACCTCTCTTAGTGTGAACAGCAGAACCCTGGTCAAGACAAAACAGGAAACAGGCAAAATGGATGAAATCACAGATCTAAGTGCTCGAGCAGATTAGAGGCACTTTTTATGTGTAGAAGTAGGTAGCAGCTGTGGTCACTGACGGTGTGCGTATGTGCTTTCTCCCTCGACTAGTGTAGTGTTCCTTCTGGGGCTAAGTATCTCCTGCGGGTATAAACGACGGAGGAAACCAACACCTTGTGTGTGAATCTATGTACAGGGCAGTAATTTGACCTGTGTGGGATATGGGATGGTCTCTTCTGGATGAGACGTCTCAGACCGTGTGCTAATTGGGAGCCAGAATACCTGATCAAGAAGTGGGAATGAGAAAGAGAAAGAGAGAGCAAAAAAGAAAAGAAAAGTAGATGAACGTAGACGTGCAGTCTGTGCAGTGTTTCCAAAGCTGTTTGGAATGAATCTCCTTTCCCCGAGAAATTCTCAGCTAATCAAATCGAATCAAAACTTTTAAATAATTAGTGTCGTTTCTGCCGTGCCAGAACTAGAACTAGAACCGCTTATGTACACAGTGTGTATTCCGTCAGCCTTGGAGAGGGCGAATTTGGTGTTATTTGAGGAAGAAGAAAAAGAAATTGATTATGACCGGAATGGTAGATATGAAGCATCTAAACGCTTGGAGTCTACAACGGGTATGGACAGTCTGGCCCCCAATTGAGGAGGCTATGCCAATGCTACTGTGCAAACGTCATCACAGCAACCCCAAAGCATATTTTGTATTTCAACTGATGGTGGCCAGTCGAGCGCGACTGACTAGCCGATGATCGAAAGAGCTACGTAAAGTGCGAAGTTGTTCACGGAATTGTCTCACCATAGCCAGACTAACATATGGTCATGGCCATGGACATGGGCCATGGACATGGACCACGCACGGTGCAACCATTCGCTTGTCTTGCATGCTCATGGTCGTGCATCGGTAGCGTGGCCTTATCTCGAGCGCGAAATGTATGGGAAAAGTGCAGAGCCAACGGTTTATGCCATGGGACCGCAAGTCGGTTGGCCAATGAGAAGCGTTCTAATTGTCAGCATGTTGATCTGAAAAGGAGAGGAACAAAAAAATAAAATCGCAATTGACGCGTAAGGTTGAACGATCAGAGCGTCAATTTCATGGGCCTTGATGGGTCATATTGCCGAGCGTATCTCCTTCCTGCTGCTTTCTTTAATGTGCGTAAAATTAAATCTTGTAAGTCAACGTTATAGCATTGTTTAGATTTATCGCACTGATGATACTAGAATGACCTGACTAAATGTGGAGACCTTAGTACCAGCTGATATCAAACCGCATGAAGAAGGCGGCAAAATTGGGTGTAAAAATATGGAGCCAATCAACAAGTATGAAAACACCTTGTTTTTTTTTCGTATCACATGTGAGATGTTTTAGCCTTGTGGCCACATAATCAACTTGGGTGTCAGAAACTTATTGCAGTAGGTTTGCTTGCGACTGAACACTTTTACACCCGAAAAGGTGTCTTCGTGGTGAGACATCACCGCTTGAGGGAAAAACGCACGATTTCTCCGTGATAGCATGCCCGTGCATGCCAGTGCACCCAACAACTTAGTAAAGAGCGAAATTTCATTGGCCAGTTGGTCCAAGATCTTTGCTTGACAGATTTCCACACTCCCATAGTTAAGGTACAGTCCTCTCATAGTTAAGGATTTCGGGGTGTTTCTGGGTGTTTCTGGGTGTCAAGTTGCATGAACATGCCAACTTCATTGGTTAGTGGGATTGTCCGCTCAGGGGTAATTGAATAACGGGGGTCCAATTAGAATCCTGTTAGAGTAAGCTGACTGGCACTGTCTTCCGTGTGCACCCGTAGTCTTCGGGTTTGTCTGGAGGTAACGCTTTTAACACCTCATACCTTGTTTAGCTTCACGAAGGAACATGGCTTGCGCTATGCAAAAATGAACCGTGGATCACACTGTGGTGTAGAACGCAACTGAGCCCTCTACACAGAATTGCTTCATAATATTATTCATTAAGTTTACGTACGTGTGCCCTATGTCTATCGCTACCTGTATTAGTCACCCGTGAGGTCTATCACATCGAGTTGGCCTATAGTTTTCTCGCTGTTAGTCCGTTGTGTACCACCGGCCACGTCTTCATCAGAGCTCGCACTCAACTCTATAACGCTGTCCGTGTGCTTTCCAGGAGAGTTGATGAAATGGCCCTCTTTCACCTCTATTATATCCAAGTCTTCGTCCTTTGGGAAACTCTCAGGATCGGTTTCATGACACCATTTCGAATCTTCGTACCTCTTTATCGCCGCTTGTCGGATCAGCTCCTCTATAGGCACGCCCTTCTTTGCAACCCCACCAAGTCTGTTCACGCCACCTTTTATACGTGGGTCCAACTTCTTCAGTCTTGCCTCTTGCACATTCAGTCCTGTTCTTCCCCCAAGTTGGTCGCCAGCACCGCCAAACTTGACGTTTTTCATCCGTAGTTCAAACATCTTCTCCCTCAGCTGGTCCATCCTTTCATAGAATTTCACATCATGTGCTCCATGTGAGTTATGTGCCAGTTCATGGATCATTGTCTCTACAATCTCTTCTGTTGGTAAGAAGGAACGCTCGTCGTAGGCTGGACGAAGCCTGAGTGAGATCTTGTATCCGTAGTTAACGTTTAACCCCAAGAGATTAGGGTTTGTAGGGAACATTTCACATAGAAATCCAACAGAAAGACGGAAATGCTCCATTAGAGGCCCAACAGTATTCGCAACTTCATACAAGATATTAAGCGCTTCCTGTTGAAGTGGTCGTCTCTTCAACGCCGCGATGTTTGAGATCTTTTGATTCGTAGACTTGGGGATAGTGACATTTGGCGTTTTCCTGTTGAGAGCTCTGTGAGTCTCTCTGCGTGCCCCACTTAAGTTTCTGCCTAATACCCTACTTCGAGCGCTCTTTGAAGAAGTTGCCTTTCCTCGTCCTCTACCTACTCGAGGTCTCATCCCCCGCTGGTTGAATCAATTCCCAACTTCGTTATTTTGGTGTTGTGATCTCACGCTAAGCTTTGAGAATCTTCGCGGTTTTTCACATCCAAAACACGAAACTTAACAAGCCTCCGTTTACACCTCATTACAAAAGCATCTTCATCGATTGGTTACTCCAGTACTAATCCAGATGAACTACCTCGACCTTCCGATGAAGATTCATCCGACAGCTTCAACCGCTTCTATCTATGTGCCTGCAGTATAACCTCACAAGGTTTGCAAACTTGTTACCTGTAGCATAGTACCACTGGTGTATAACTTACAGCTCTAGCACGATTATCCCAGTAAATGAATCAGCATCAGGTGTACCATAGATCTTGGGTTAGGTAAGTTAATAGCACGGACATATACAATCCATGTTACACTTCGAGGTCACTCTACCATTCTAATCATTATGGAGGGAAATTTCGGAGATTTCGCACCCTGATCCTTGTTCACGCCTCTGGCTTTCGCAAAACACAACCTTACAAGGCAATTATCATGTTATTATGATGCCCACCCTTTACACCCTAAAACACCTGCGTCTGAATTTGTATGGCGAAAGTTGTTAAAATAGCATGTTTTCGGGGTGTTAGGTGTTTTTGGGCCCGAGGCCGTATTTTGGAGTTTTAGCTGAAGTGAACAGGTGGCTACACCCTGCTGTAAAGAGAAGGTGCCAAGTTATGCATGCTTACTCTCTCCGATAACTGAAGACCCACCCCCTCATTGGCTTGATACGCACCTCTATGGTTCCACCTTTCACATTGCCATAGTACTGGTAGTGGTTGTGGCTACGGGATCCATAGCCAAAGCCCCATGATTTCACGACAATTGAGTAGAATAGGTACTTTGGTCTGATAAGTGTGAATGTATATGTATTTGGAAAATCACTAACTAAAGCATGGCTAATTCTCTGGAAGAGGACGCTTGACATCACCCATGTCATTGAGCTCGTATTGACCTGATGTGCTTCCGTCAGCACTGGAGTTGAGCTCGTCGCCATTGAAATACTCCACTTTTGGGTGTTCTGGGCCGATCGCCATAGCCAGCAACGGGTCAGCACACTCTGCCAGGTCGTAGAGATCAAGACCCATTTCCTCAGCTTCTTCACTGACTCTCATCTTCAAACCTGGGATGTGGTTTATGATGTAACAAAGGGCAACTGTTCCCACACTGGACCAGCCAACAATAGCACAGATAGCAGCAAGTTGGTAACCCATCTGCTTCCAGTGATGGAAGATCCAACCACCTTCAATCACTGTGTAGCCATCAAGACCGGCAATGTAAGGGGAAGCAAAGACACCAACGACGATACCACCGACGATACCGCCAATACCGTGCACGTTAAAGGACTGTGAGGAGTCGTCGATACCGATCCAGCGGTTGACGTTGTGGGTCAAACGACAGCAAATAGCGGTGAACATTGCACCTACAGCACATGCCCAAGGTTCCAAATAACCACAAGCTGGAGTGACAAACACCAGACCGACAATGAGACCTTCTGCGGCCATTGTCAACGACCACTTCTTTGTGAAGAAGTAGTCCATGATACAGTACGTGGACATTGCAAAACCAGCAGCAATTTGAGTGTTAGCCATAATCATGGCAGTTCTTGGAGTGGTAACTGTAGTCAAAGTACCAGAGTTAAAGAACAACCATGGGAAATAAATAAGCAATGAACCTATGAATGTCATCACCGGAGAGTATGGCTTGTAGTCCAAAGTCTTTTCCTTCCAGCCCTTTCTTGGACCAAGGAACCAAGAGTACCACAAGGATGCAACACCGGAAGCAATATGGACTGGACCACCACCTGCAAAGTCCAAATCACCCAAGTTGTATAACCATCCGTTTGGATCCCAGACCCAGTAAGCAAATGGACAGTAACAAAGTGTAGTCCAAAGGAACGCAAGCACCAAGGATGGAAGCAATCTACCTCTCTCAGAGATAGCACCGAGGAAAATCTGTACTGTACACACCGCGAAGAACAGTGTGAAGGTGAATGTTTCTATAGCTGGAATTGTTCCACCTTCGTATAAAGGACCAGCATGTATGTTTACCAAAGCACCATATCTGAAATTACCATAGATAGCAGAACTTGAAGTTTCAGAACATGCCAGAGAAAAACCAAAGAGAAACCACTGAACTGTAAGAATACCAGTTGTCAGATATGACTGAACAATCAAAGTCATAAGATTTTTTCCACGCATAGAACCACCGTAGAAAAGGGAGATACCTGGGGTAATAACGACGATACCAACAGTTGCACAGAGCACATACGCCATGTCCGCCGGGACAAGGGTACTAAAGACGTGTTAGCTATACGAAGAATGCGATGGGCAGGGCAATTTTTCCAACGCAATTGTTCAACCACGTTTCCAGTAATAACTTACCTCACTTGCTGCTCGTACACTGAAGCGGCAGCAGAGGATGTAGCTTCGGCCATACTTAATTTGTGAACTAGTTTAGGCTGCTAGTGTCTCGAAGGGTAAACATTTCCCAGACGAGGTGAAATAAAGAGCTTCCAACCCATCTATTTAAATACCAATGGGTTAAATGGAATCACACGTCATGTATGATGAGATATTTTTTCGTGCATAATCAGTAATCGGATTGTTAGAGACTGGATAAGACTTGGACTACACGAGATCAATAACTAGTGGGTCTTCGTAGCCACCACGCCCAATACCATGGAGTAATATGCACCCTAACAGATAGCCAGGAAAGTTTTTGCCAAATTTGGGACAATATTGTCGTTCAGCAGGGCTGAGGCCACCGATCAGCGCGGATATGCTCGAGAATGAAAGGGACTTGGTCGACTCAAAAGATAATTCCTGAAATGGCAGTTGTTCATGTTAGGTCATGAAGTATCCAGGTTCCTCGGGGCGTTAACCTGACATGGATCATGCAGGAGATAACACCACTAGGGCTAATTCTATGCGGTTTATCTTTCAGACGATGGCCGACATTCAAATCTCATCACTGACTGTGTAGCAAAAGAATCTGAGTAATCTCACAGATAATCGAACTTCATGGAGCATAAGCCGAGCAGTATTGTTAATTGATGCGTATGCAACGTCTAGGAATGGTTTAACCTAGGTGAAATGAAATATCTCCAAGGTTATTCCTGGACTACATTTGTATGGCTGCGGTTTTTGATCTGCGGCACAACCGGGCTTTAACATTCAAAAGTCCTAACTCGGGACTCGGCCATGATTATGATCCAATGAGACCCTAGTCTTTGAAAAATACGAGATATCATGATCAACTTCAATGAAAGGTGGTCATTGGAGAATTCAGCAACACATTTAACAAAACATTGATAACGATCGAGTAAGTTAACTAGTGTTTGGTCCGAAGTCGGTAGGTAGGATAGAACATGAAGGATGTCGGCAAAAAAAAGCCAAGAAGGCCGAGCTTTGTGGGATAACAGTTTCTTATTTTAGTGTGTACCTGATACGCTGCAGCCTGTCGCTAGTTAATTAGAATGATTCTTGATGTTTCTTGATCAAGCTTCCACTTAAGGGGACATAGCTTGGAAAATAGATATATGTGTGCCAAATTGGAAAACCTATGAATAACAGAGTCAACCAAATAATATTCCTCGTAGTCTACTAGTCTTATTGTTCATGCAATATCAGGGCCTAGTCTAAAATTTAACTCAGGGAGGTGATCATGCACAAGATCCTAGACCCATACTAAGCTGGTACCGATGTGATAACAACAAGCCCTACACGTCGACGTATCTAATGGCGCACCGATAGTGAGGTCTATTCAAGTCTCTGTAATACGTTGAGTCACTGAGTCCATTTCTTGTTTAACTTTGAGGGCGTTTCTCCTGAGGCCTATTAATGTTGAGTTGTCGGCTTTTTTAATCAATGTTCTTCGGCGACTAGACTAAATCTTAATTATGGAACGCAGTCCATTATTCTAACATGCCTCATCCGTTAGCCTCGAATCATCAAGTACGTGCATCCCACTAACTCGAGCTTGACGGAATAAAAGCTGTAAATCTCTAGTTCAAACTAAAAACTACTAAAAACAATACAAAAGACAATTTAAAAAGTATAAAATTTCAAGCAGATCATAAGAAGAGTTCAAGCAGACTCGGCTGGTGGAACTTTGGAGTCATAACTGGTTTGTTGCTCGTTTACGTGACTGGAAGAATGACTCTGGCCTTCGTAAATCTGATATTGAAACTCCTCTTCCTTCCCGTGTAGGTACTCAATGTAAGGGTCGCAACGTTCAGCCATCTCGTAAAAGTCAAGACCCATGTCTTCAGCATCTTCTTCAACTCTCATTTTCAAGCCTGGGATGTAGTTTATAATGTAACAAAGTGCAATTGTGCCCACGACGGTCCAGCCAACGATTGCACAGATAGCAGCTAATTGGTAACCCATCTGCTTCCAGTGATGGAAAATCCAACCACCTGCAATGTCGGTAGCACCATCCATGGCGGCAATTCTTGGAGATGCAAAAACACCGACAACAATACCACCAACAATACCACCAATACCATGAACATTGAAAGATCTTGTAGTGTCATCAATACCAATCCATTCGTTGATGCTGTATGTTGCACGACAGACCAAAGCAGTGAAGATGGAACCAATGACACAAGCCCAAGGCTCAAGGTAACCACATGCTGGGGTGACAAACACCAATCCAACAATTAAACCTTCAGCAGCGGCTTGAATAGACCATTTCTTTGTGATACAGTACTCGTAAAAGGTGAAGGTAATCATACCAAAGGAAGCAGCGATTTGTGTGTTGGCCATGATGAATAAAGTTCTTGGAGTGCTAATTGTGGTCATAGTACCAGAGTTGAAGAACAACCAAGGGAAATAAATGAGTAAAGAACCAACAAACGTCATAACAGGAGAGTATGGTTTGTATTTCAATGTTTTCTCTTTCCAGCCTTGTCTTGGACCAAGGAACCAAGAGTAACACAAGGATGCGACACCAGAGGAGATATGGACTGGACCACCACCTGCAAAGTCCAAATCACCCAAGCTATATAACCATCCGTTTGGATCCCAGACCCAGTAAGCAAATGGACAGTAACAAAGTGTAGCCCAAAGGAACGCAAGCACCAAGGATGGAAGCAATCTACCTCTCTCACCAATGGCACCGAGGAAAATTTGTACTGTACACACAGCAAAGAATATCGTGAAGCAGAAAGTTTGGATAGCAGGGATGGTACCACCTTCGTACAGAGGACCTGCATCAACGTTAGACAAAGCACCATATCTAAAGTTACCGTATATGGAAGAACTGGACGTTTCAGAGCAAGCAAGAGAGAACCCAAAGAAGAACCACTGTGCAGTGATGACTGCAGTGGTCAGATAGGATTGGATGATCAACGTCATGAAGTTTTTACCACGCATGGAACCACCGTAGAAGAGGGCGATACCTGGGGTGATAGCAACAATACCAACAGTTGCACAGGCCACATAGGCCATGTCAGCTGGAGACAGGGTGCTGATTAAGAGGAGGTTTTTGTAAGTACATGTGACTAGAACGGTGGGTCGAAACCGAGGGAGAGATACTTACCTCACCTTGCTTTCGAAGTCTACTACAGCAGACATGTTCTCGATTTGGTGTTAAAGGTTTCACATTCCACAGCATTTCTTGAACATGTTCTTCCCCGGCTCTTTATATAGTTTGAATTGCAGATCATGTTCTGTTCTGTTCGAACGTGTTGAGGTGGTGAATCCTCGAGCTATCTGCAGATAACAACGACTGATGCCAAGAGAAGTGTAATCAGTACTTGCCCCGTATAGCAGTATAATCGACAAATGATAGAATTTAATAAACCAATTTCACAGATCAGTGGTCTGGAAAGCCAAGACAATAAAACCTGACGTGGTCTGGTCTAAACTAGAGGGGACTTTTACCACCCGGACGATAATGGGTAAGATGTTGTGATTAAGGCTTTTCTGACAGTCTAAGAAGAGACTAAGAAGCCGAACGCATTAGACCTTTGTGAGCTCTACCTATTCCAATCTATGTTGTTGATGTTTTGCGTGTTTACATGACGCTGTTATTTGACACATTAATCTTCACGGCTGGCACTCAACAGGACAAACTGATGAGCTCTAACAGAAATCAGGACCCTTAACGCTTCTTCCTTCGCTCAGTTAATTCCCTCTATATATTGTAGACGCCGATAGTACAGCACTCCCGCTCTATGAGACCGTTCCAAGTCCTCATGGATCCTGATTAACGGCACGCTATACCTGCAGCCTTAGTTGCTAGTCCCTACAGTTAGTCTCTTGAGTCTCCTGGAACCCTGATAATGGAATCATGGTACCACATCGAGAGCTCTAAGTTTATTTTTGGACCCTTTTTCCATATCTTAGAAGTTAACACGCTGTTGGGCAACAAAATCCTTAGTCCAAAAATCACTGACCAATGTCTGTGCAGCATGATAAGATAACGGGTGACGTGCGGACTCGATTTTCTCGCTCTAGGCCATGGTCATGGCCGTAGCGCTAACAAGTAACCCGCTTTTGAAATCTTATCAAAGATTCCCGCGGATATCAGCATCGTGCATAAATCCTGGACAGGTTGACCCAAACTGGAATCGAGACCCAGTTTCTGGTAAGGAGGCACACCTAATGGAGTATAAGTAGGTAATGTTTCCCTTACTACTCAACCCCGCGGTGATCAACTGCACCAAGATTGGCAATAATTATGAAGATCTCTTTAGGTCTGAAATCTAAAGGCCGTTTGCCTTTTACAAGACTCTAGCGGCCCGTGGGTCGTCAGCTAGTAGGTGATTTCTTGTACTATACGTAGTTATTCCAGATATGCACTATCAGAACCATCTCACGTAGATTACACGCATTGCGACTCAGCACATGGAAGGAGTTTTGGAGACTATGTTGCTCTTGGTCACATCTTGAAATAATTGTCATTATCATTCTGATTGGTCAATACTTCATCGCCATTCACAGGGCCTGTGTGTTCTCTGTTGGGCGTTAGTCCTCGATGCAGGTCACTTCTGTATCCAGTAGTAATGGTTCATTCACATGATTGTGTCATTAAGTGATTGCCTAATCACTGATTAACTGACTCACTGATAACAAGGTCTGATTCCTAGGAATGACATAGTTTGGTCAGTGACCCAGTGTCTGTCCGTGAATCGCTTTGGCCGGTGGAGGTTCGGCTATGGCCATTTGCACTCCAAATCTCTCGGTTGATCTAATCGGGTGATTAACTATCTATCACTTGAGGTAATCATAACATTATCAGCCAGATTAGTGATAATGGTTCGTGATGGGGCCATTTCTGCGCTTATGAAATGGCATTAATCACTAAATGGCCCTAGCTCAGTAAAGGTGTGGATCGTGATAAATGGAAAATGCGTCAGTCTCTTTATCGATTCTCCTTTAATGCAAATCACTTCTCGATATAGCTCTAAACTCCATTATCAAAGTTAATATGCTATCTAATCCATTGGTGTGTAATAGTCATCATCACCTTTGAATTGAACGTTGCAGTTTCTCAATTGGGCAAGGTTCTCCTGTTCTTCCGTCTTCTTCAATTCCAAGTCCCTCCGACTTCCCACTATACTACACTTCTCTTCTAATTGGCATCCTATATGCCTCTTCCATGCCCCATAACCTCTCGGTATCTTTTCAGGTATCTAACCAAACAGAATATACTTAACGGTATATCTAATTTATCTCATCCACAAAGGAAGGTGATTGAGAACACCTAGAAAGGGACAATGAGGCTACATCAACACTTTCTAGTGTCTCTTCCTGGCGAACCTTTTAACATGTCTTAGCGGATGGAAAGTGAGCCTAGCTCTCAACCATGAGCCTCGCAAGGTATGCTATAATACAGTTTGAAGACTCACTGTACGTACAACAGCTAGCTTGCCTATACAATGAAATCTCGTGAAAGCACCATCCTATGATATATTGCATCAAGGTACTTCCATGTAGGCCTTCCAAAGTGTTGCACTTGGAATGAATATATGGTTCAAGAGGCTGACTAAAAAAGGTGGTTATGGCTCCATTGTCCATAACTCACACTATTTACGCTTACAAGAACTATGAAACAGTGTTGAGCTTGTGATCTCTCAAGGATTATTGCTTAGTGTCTCGCACATAGGAGAACCATTAGCTGTATACATTCTATTTGAGATTTAGAGTCAAAAAGTCTCAGGGAACTTGAAATAGCCTGCCTTCTCTAACTCTTCTATGGTCTTTGCCCTTTTATGTGTTTCAGATAAATATTTGATGTACGCCTCCTTTAATGGCTTAATACTTGCTCTGACTTTACACTGTTCTGTATCCCATTCAACAGCTTGGTACCCCCTATCTCCAGTAGCAGCTCTCGACTCAGCATTAAGATTGTTGGCATATTCAATATCTTTGGGATACTTTAGATCGTGGTGTGTTCTCTCGTCACCTTCTGTTTCAGCGTTGGCCTTTTGCATGTCCTTCAAACTTGGTAGTGAAATCTCACCAGCCCAGACACGGGCCAACCAACACCCTTGAGACTCTGATATTCTTGTAGGCAGGACAAATCTTGGAAGACCAATGACGGCCAATGTTGGGTTCTTGATATAGATAAGGTGTCTGAACAAGTCGTGGATCTTTTGGCCGTCAGTGATCAAATGAGGGCTTTTAAGAAAGGGGATTGACTTCAGATAGCCAGTGCAGAAGATCACAGAGTCAACCTTGTCAATTGATGAGCCATCCTTGAAGTAAACAGTCTTGTTCTCAGCGTCAAAGTGGTCCAGGTCGGGAACATCTTTGATCAAATCAGACTTACCAGCAGGAAGCGTATTCTCAGAACGAACAGATTTATAAATGGTTCTGTTCAAATATGAAGCCAATTGGAATGCAATATCTGCACCAGACGCAGAGTTACCAACAACAAGGATGTTGCGAGACTCCTTGAACTGGTCAGGTTCATCGTATGACTTTGCGTGAATAACTGAGCCTGGATACTTGGTATTCCAGTCTCTCAACCCTTCAACCTCGGGGATGAAAGGCTGATCATAATTACCAACTGCAATGCAAACAGCATCATACTTCCCTGTCTTCACCTCACCAGTGATGGAGCTTTGGGACGTCAGAGCCCACCCTTCTCCATCAGGGACGAGCTCAGTCACAGAAGTGTTGAACTGCACATAATCCTCAATGTCCTTCGAGTAACCTACAATGTACTTCAATATCTGCTCATGAGTTGGAAACAGCGCATCGTCTGCAGGGAACGGGTTGTCATTGTAAGCCATCAACGTCTTGGGGACGTTAGCATCGAGGAACTTGTACACAGGACTCTCATAGAACTCTTCAGATGACACCTTGACCTTCTCAATCACCCTATTTGGATCAACACTTGGCACTGGCGAAGTTGGGTCAATCTGGGTCTTCAGTGGTGTGTAGTTCCAAAGTCCTCCAAGAGTTGGGCGACGCTCAAAGACATCAATCTTGGTGAACTTCTTCTCCGCCAATAATGCCTTAGTGATTGCAGCACCACAAGGTCCACTCCCAATCACAGCAATCTTGGAGATGTTTGGTAAGGCATTGTTTGCACTGACAAGAGCATCGCTCTTGGGAAACACGATGGGACCATCTTGTGTCTCCGTCATTCTTATTAGCTCAATGGTTGTAAATAATATGGTCTTTGTCTATGAGCGAGGTGTGATTCTTCTATTCTTCACGTCAGCCTGCGCGCTAAGTTTCCCATTCTGGGAACTCAATGCGCCACAGCGTTTTCAACATCGGTGTTAACCCATATGAAGACAGATCAACGCTCACAAGAAGGCCTACTCGTCCAGACATCTCCGTGGGGCCTCTGGTGTCCTCTCGTGTCCTCTCGTGTCCTCTCTTGTAAGCCAACTCCCATCAACCACCCCGTAACTGTCCAAGTGTCGATCTTCAACGTGGTGGAGATCCTCCGATACGTGGCTAAGATCTGCTGGATCAAGTGCTAAACACCGAGCATGCCCGTTACATACATAATCTGTTGTTAGATTCTATAGCTATTATTCTTTATTAATACAGGTATTGTGTTTTGAATATTCATGACCAATTGCTATCTTGTGATAGACGGGGGGTTGTTCTTCAAGCAGACACTTCCTGCTCCTTTGGGAAGCTGAAGTATCCGTCCTTCTCCAACTCTTCAATGCTTTGAGCTCTCTTGCCTGTCTCTGCGAAATGCTTAATGTATGCCTCCTTCAATGGTTTGATGTTGGCTCTGACTTTACACTGCTCGTCATCCCATTCAACGGCTTGGTATCCTCTGTCGCCAGTGGCCTCTCTTGCTTGGGCATTCAACATGTTAGAGTACTCAACATCCTTTGGATACATCAAATCATGATGAGTTCTCTCGTGGCCTTCCAGGGAGTCACAAGCCTTCTGCATCTCTTCAGCACTTGGCAATGCGATCTCTCCTGCCCATACACGAGCAAGCCAGCATCCTTGGGACTCAGAAAGACGTGTTGGAAGGACAAAACGAGGAAGTCCAATGACTGCCAAAGTAGGGTTCTTGGTGTACAGAAGATGGTTGTAGAGATCGTTAACCTTTTGGCCTGTTGTCACGAGCTTTGGGTTCTCGAGGAATGGGATAGATTTCAAATAACCAGTGCAGAAAATGACACTGTCGACATCTTCAATGAAAGAGCCATCCTTGAAATGGACTGTCTTGGTTTCACTGTCAAACTTCGCAAGATCTGGAACATCGTGCACAAGATCGGATTGGCCAGCAGGGAGCACATTTTGGGAACGGATGGATTTATAGATCACCTTGTTCAACTTGGTTGCAAGTTGGTATGCGATATCAGCACCTGATGCAGAGTTACCCACGACAAGAATGTTTCTTGAATTCTTGAACTGCAGTGGTTCATCGTATGATTTGGAATGCAAAATGGAAGTTGGGAACTTCTCGTGCCATTGTGCCAGACCCTCCACGTCTGGAATGAATGGCTGTTCGTAATGACCAACTGCAATACAGACAGCGTCATAAATGTTGGTTTCAAGCTGGTCGCTTACTGAGTCGTGTGATGTGACTGCCCATTTATCATCAACCGGAGTAACTTTGGTCACGCTAGTGTTAAACTTCACACGGTCCTCGATACCCTTTGAGTAATCCACAATGTAATCCAAGATCTGGCTATGAGTTGGAAACAATGGAGTGTCCTTTGGGAAAGGGTAATTGTTGTAGGCCATCAACGTCTTTGGAACATTGGCATCTAAGAATTTGTATACTGGACTCTCATAGAACTCGCTAGTATCAACTTTACGCTTTTCAATGACTCTGTATGGATCCATACTTGGAACAGACGTTGCACTGGTTGCAGATCTCTTCAGCGGAGTGTAGTTCCAAAGTCCACCAAAATGAGGACGACGCTCAAACACATCAACCTTGGTGAACTTCTTCTCGGCAAGCAGGGCCTTTGTGAGACCAGCACCACAAGGACCACCACCTATAACTGCTATGGAGGAAATATTTGGCAAACGCATGATAGTTCCCAAGTAATTGACAGGCAAAGAACAGAGTGTTTCATTGGAAAGAACTACATTGTCATCCTGGGGAGGGCTCGAGCATTAATTTATACTGAGCCTGCATGCGAGCGTGGGACGATGGGCATAAAAAAAATTTTTTTTTAGCTCTACATGATACGGGCTAATACAGTCTTGATGTATGCTGTGAGCAATTGATTCACCGTGATGTTGTCGACTCGGTATCTCTAAAATTGGGCTTTTCGTGGTATATATAAAGCCATTATGGAACGAATAGCCGATATCTTCTGGACGCTAATATAATACGCTCCTCTTCCGTTAGTGGTTCAATCTTCCTCACACAGCATAGCTTCTTCGCTTTCACCTGGGTCTCGAGTCTTCACAATGCGCCTTGTCGCAGCTATTTAGATCTTCCAAAGGTCCAAAGTGTCATCTCACGTGCAAACTCGAAATAACGGTCGTGGCTGGTGAAATAAATTTGCCACATGGTGTCTGGGTGTTGAAGAGGCTGAATGTGGCGTCGTGCATATTGCATATTGCATCTTCGACGATATGAGACACGCAAAAATTGTTTGAATCCTCACAGGGTACGCAGCGATGCTCACGTCTACTTCTTTGTTGGTTTATTGTACATGATTCACCTATTCAATGGAACTGTTAGTGTGTTTGTTCTTTCCTCGTTGGATATGAACAAGTTTCGGGAAAGAAGTTTACAATGGTATAGAAGACAATGCCCTATGGGTTCTACTTCATTGAAAATGCAGGAGGACCTTGGCAATGAGTATTTGCTGTGGTTAAAGTTGTAACAGAGGATGATCACCTTCAGACTCGTATACCATGTATTCTATGTAGTTAAACAATGAGCCGATAAATTGAAAACTGTCAATGAGATTGGTTACGAAGTATGAAAGAGAACATAAGGCATCAAAGAGTCTTTTCTAGATCGAGATGCGGTGTGTTCCTGAGATGAGAAAGGCTCGAAAACAAGTTGATGACACAGTTTCATTCCAGCCGAGGTTCAGTAAAGATAAAGATGTTTGGCAGGGAACAGAGAGCATTCTGTAGAAAGTTGTGTACGATTTGCTTTTCATCATTCAATACAGACATACAGCACATGCTCGGGTTCAAAACGATATGGTTTTGCAAAGCCATAGTCTGGGGTACATTGATTCCATTCAATGGTGTGTAATCAGCCAGCTTATACGGTACGCAGTATTTTATGAAAAATAGAAAGAAGGTACCATAGACGACGTGGTATACTATGATATATTTCCCTCCCAGTTACTGGGACATATGTGCGCCTTCATCCTCACGGGATGATCCTGAATCGCT